TCTAGTTCTCAGTCCTAAAGAACATATGATTTATACATTTTTATTTTCAACTAGTATACCTATACAAAATAATTACTTTCTAATTAAAGTCCCTGTTTTTTTTGTTTCAGAAAATTAAAATTTGCTTTTCTGTCTAACATAAAGAAAGGAAATTTTATTTAGCTTAATCCCATTTATTTATATGATAGTTTTCTCATTTGAAAATAACATATTTGTCTTACATGATTTCCAAAAGATCACTTTCAGATACAACGCTTGCTACATCCAGGATTCCAATCTAGAATAAATAAAAATAAAGCATAATCTAAAATTTATTTCCCAAAGGATTTTGCTATAATTAAAGCTACCACTCAAAATTCTGTTTAAATTTTAATTTATGATAGTTTTCCCTAATTCCTGTATCCCAGATTCAATTTTGGAGTCTTAGAAATTTCTAAATAGTTTTTGATGATCTGTGCATTGAATTTTTCTTCATCACAATTTTTAGTCCATACTCTGAGCATGACAACTGCTATTATATTCAAATCTGTATTATTCCAAAATGTAACCTCTTAGAACTTGATTATATATTATTTTTCAGTGTTTGATTTTGTCTGTCTAGATCATAATGTGTATGAACACAAGGACAGAACTTGTCAAATATTTGCTCAAAAATGTTTGAATGAATTGATGAAATGTACTTTTGTGTTATACCACATAGTGCCTCCCACAGAGTAGGCACTCAATAATTACCAGCTGCTTAATAAGCTGGTATGAATAAGAGATATTCTTAAGGGATTTACACCTAATTAGTGCTCTTAAGAATCATTATCTGCTTTGTTTAAAATATTGAATTATTTTCTGTAGGGCAAGTGACAGATAATGTTTTTCAGGTCCATAAATGTCAGCAGAAAAGTAGAATGAGATAAAGTGTTCTGTTGAGAATGCAGGCCAGCAAACTCACCATCAAACAAAATGCAATCACCAGGCGATGATTTATGCTACTTATTTACTCTCTCTTTTTATTTGGACTCCATTCCTTCTGAGTTATCACCACTAATTGTAAGGGTAACAATAAAAAGCAGCAAATATGTTAGGTTATGTAGATAAAAAATGTGATTCCTGTGACTGAGTTTCCCCCACACCATGTTAGCTGGTGACAGAGCAGATTATGAGTAAGAAGCCCTAAGTCACATGAAAGTTAGTTTTGGACAATCCTAATCCTGTCTTTTTCAATCTGAGAAAAATACAGGTAAAACTCGATCTAACAAAGTTTGTATTGAGGAACTACTGAAATTAATGACTAAGCTGCAACCCCCAAATTATAGAGAAATGCTTTATTATATTACTAAGTACCACATAAACTATCTGTTAATGTCCATAGTAGGGAAGAGAGTGGTAATAAGAAAAAAACGTCAGACAGAGGTGACATAGCTCATTTTGATGCACAGTATTCTGGGAGGGTATTGTACGAGGTTGAAGAGGCCTGTAAATATGCAAGGGCAAACATGAGTGCAAACATTGTGAATCTGAGAACATATGAGGGAGCCAAGACAGAATCCCCATCAAATCCCCCATAAAATCCACATTGTACATGTCTACTATATTAAACTTTCTATATATTCTGTTTATGCATCATTTGACTTCCCTTCTTATATATCTTCATTGGCTCTTATTCATTTCCAGAACAAAGTCCTATCCACTGTGATTGGTTTTCGTAGCTCTCCAGAGTTTGGCTCCATACTGGCAGTCTAACACTAACACTCAGCATTTACCAAACATGAATCTTGCATTTAAGCTAGGCTGTTGTTCACAGATTTGTGTGGCCAATTCCATTTTGAATTCTTTCCTTGTGCTTTTCTCTCTGGTTAAAAGTTATCTACTCTCCTCTCTACATAACTAAATCTAACTATGCATTAAAGTATAGCTACTGTACCTCCTTTTCCTCCAAGCCATTAATTTCGTGTCTGAAAACATGTTTGCTGGTATTGTTTAGCTGGAAACATTTAAAATGTGAATTGCTATGCTCTCTCCAAAATTAAGATGTGGTTCACATTTTACTCTTCTTATGCATATCCCTAGTACTCTACCTTGTATTTTGTATGCAGTCAGTAAATTAACTTGATTTATACAATGAGGTCCCTAGATTAAAAACTGTTACCAAAGACCCCATCAATTCAGATTTGACAAATATAAAAAATTCATTTGTAATGAGTGCTTTATTATACATAGTTCTGTTCCAACAAAGTGCTTAAATAATCTGTTCTCTAAATCTTCAACACATATTTCGCTTTTTAGAAAAACTGTTAAATCTTTTGTTCAAAAGCAATATATACATAAATTTCAGTTCAACCTTATATTTCAATTGTCACATATTTCGAGTGAGCTGCATCTTAATTAGGTTTTATTATTACCAAATCATCGAGTGGATCTGTTTGATATCAGTAGTTACTAAGGGATTATGAGTATTCCCAGACAGGGAGTTAATCAACGCTTTATCTGGAATCAAGGAATAGTTATAAATACACTGTTATACCAAAACCTTCACTTATTTTTCCTGGATGAGAATATGAAGCATTTAATCCACAAAGAAAAGTGATCTTCACATTCTACCAAGCTTCACTTCTACTACTCAAGGCTTTCAATTGCATAATAATGAGATAGTAAAAATGTAAAGATTAACATATTTTAACTCATGAGGAACATGATTAACAGAGTCCCGTGGATGCAAACCTCCCTGCAAAGCATTTTGTTAGAGGGTTTTCAATTAGCAAAATTTTAATAAACCAAGGACTGAAGAGGCACAAAAGGCAAATGAAATAACATTCAGTCATGTCTCATTATTTTTTAAAAAATGGCAAATTTATGCCAACACTAATAGAAATGTAACCACTATTTTGTAGTCACACTTATGAGTGTAATTTCATGCCATTTTCACCATCGTGCTGGGAAAATGGTATTAAAACAGAAATCTTTTGAAAAAATTAACTGAAAGGAACCATGTGAGCCCATAAACAATTACAAGATTTTTATCTTCAAGAAAAGTAAAATTTGTCATTAAACAATTCCACAAAATATAACAAAAGTGTATTTTATAATAGTTTTCAGTGGGAGAAAATAGGACAGAGAGATTAAAGAAACAAAGTGATAGGATTTTAAAATATTTTTACGGTTATATATCTTAACAGATGCCTATGACCTGTGTGTTCACCTCAGGCCTCTGCATTTCTATCTGTAGGAAAAGAAGAATAATCTATTTAAGAGGACTTAACTAATGACAACACATTTCTAAAATGGGCTTAAAATCTTTCCAAAGTGCTGAGGGAGAACTGTTAAATGGTTAGAAACAATCAAATTCTAAACATTTCTTTGAATTATAAATTTCTATATACTTTTTGCTTTTTCACTGAATGAGTACAACCAATTTAAAAATTAAGAAGACAGTACAGATGAATTTCAAAGTGGCAAATTATAAAGTGTACTGCTAAAGTGCTATGCTAATTGTTATCCACAAACATCTACATGCAAACAGTACTGGGTTAGAATGTTTCAGAGCAACTAATAGTGTTTGTTAGCACAACAACACGGTGAAAAATTTTAGAAAAGTAAAAGAAGTACGTCTCACTAAAACCTTATATAAAACATCCGTGTTATCATTTGATTCATATATAAACACACTGACATCTAAATCCAGAAAATCATTTCTTAGTGCACACTCAGACTTGCAGTAAATATTGTGACTGAAAAATGTGCCATAATGAGAATGGCTGAGAGATGGTGACCATGAAAAAGACCTGTCTAAATAAAACTTAAAAGAAGAGATCATGGTAAGGACTGGTGTGCACATGCTAGAGAATAGGTTGGAGAGAGAGCAGAGCTGGCAGAAGGTAACAGACATCAGTTAATGTGGAACAGAACAAGTGGTCATAGACACAAGCGATCATGAAACTCAGAAGAAGAGAATCAGATTTGATATATAGGGGTGTGTGTGTGTGTGTGTGTGTGTGTGTGTGTGTGTGTGTGTGTCTATGGGCACAGAGGGGAGAAAATCTCACTTTGGTCCATTCCCAGATTTTCTTGGAACCACAGGTTCTATAGTCACTTTATGGTCTGGCTTTGAATACAGAGCAAAGATACTATAATTTGGTCTAAAGGACATGTGGGCAATGTCACACAAGAATTGTGTGGAAAAAATATCCTTCTTAATCTGCGGAAGAAAGACATTCCCTTCCACGCTTCTTAACTCTCATGTACCTTTATTTCCTGCACAAGTGCAATATCAAATTATGCTAAATTCTCCTTTTTGAGGAGGGAATAAGAGGGGCAGGAAAGGTGATAAAGATTCACCAAAACATGCCAAAACACATAACATTTTCCCTCCAAAACTAACTACTGGGATAGAAAAAGAAGTCTAAGATGCACCAGGTATGTGTACATTACAATGACCATTTTAGAGCTAGGAAACTGAGGCTTAGTGAGACTAAATGACTTATTTAAGGCCATTTATTCAATACCACAAAGTCAGTATTTCTGGGTCTGAGTCACATCAAAGCCCTGGTACTTTCTACCACAACAGAGCCTTCCATCAAAAAAGAGGCTAAAAGATAAACATGTAAAAAGAACCAATCCATATTTTCAGCTTTCTTTTCTTTTAAGTTCTACCACTAGATTTTAGAAATTTTTTGGCATTATGTAAAATTTTCATTAAATTTTTAAAGTTAAACACCAGTTCCATGGTCTCTGATCATTAACTCTCAACATACTTTTCATTGCATTATAAGAACATGGAAAAGTTAATCATTGTAAAACAACTTAAAATTTTCAAGAAAGCACAAAATCATGAAAATACAGAGCTGAAAATACCTTAGAAACAATCTGCTCAAACCACCTCATTTTATAAATAAGGAAATTAAGGCTCAGATAGGTGAAGTGACTTGCTCAGGGTCACACAACTTGTCAGTTCCAGACTCAAGATCAGAATTTAAATCTCCAAACTTGTAGCCCAGGGCTCTGTTCTTTTTCAAACCTATAAGTCATGACTGCATTTAAACGTTTAGTCCAGAATATCCTTACAATTGAGTGTAATTAGTAAAAGTAAGCCATGTGGCGGGGAATGAATAGAGTTAGTTCATACCAAAAATGAGCTGCCAGTCACTGTGATAAGATCTGTTTCTTTCTGAGAACCATGGTTTCCTGCTGCATTGGAGAATCCAAACTGGGTTTCTTCCTCCTGTCCAAAGAAGTCAGAGTCAGGATGTATGTTCCATTCTGCTTTGGTTGGCGTCAGCAGATCTGAGACACTGTTTTCACAAAGGGTGCTTGAAGGAGTCAGAGCATCTGTGTCCACTGTTAGCTTACTGCTGGGGGTCAAAGCTTGGGGGTCTTGACTCGAGTTTTTCATAGCCAAAGAGCTCAGAGATCCCAACGGCCCAGCACTTAGACTTGAGACATCATCCATTTCTAAGGGGCTCTGCTGAAAACCGGCAGCTGTCGTTCCAAAAAAGAGAGAGGTATCCAGACTTTGAGGAAGGTCACTGGTGGCCATCAAGGCCCGAGGGTCCACAGCCTGCCCTAAGGAATTATTATTAGCGGGAAGGTTCCCTGCCAGAGTTGAGCTCACGGAAGCCACATCAATCGTCAAGATTCCAGAGTTCACCAATGCCGTGTCTAGCACCGCAGCAGAACTATTGCCAGGCACGTCAGAGAAGAGAGGCACTAGCTCTGCATCGCTGAGATCCCTCTGTCCCTGGCTGGCAAGTTCACTGCTGGGCGTAAGAGAATTTGCAGCTTCTAACTGAGCTAAGAGATCCTGGCCTAGGTTGTGCCTTTTGGCCATGTGGGTCTTCATGCTGTGCTTGGATGTGAAGAGTTTATTACAAGTGGAGACTGGGCAACGGCTTTTCCAAGTGTCCACATCCTGCAAGTGCTTCTTGGAGTGAATGTAGAGGCTACTTCGAGCAGAGAACCTGGCACAGCAGCCTTCCACGGGGCACACAAACGGCTTTGTTCCCAGGTGGGTTATGCTGTGGCCTTTCAGATGCTCGGCCCTCGTGAAAGATTTCCCACAGCCTTCCACAGGACACATGAACCTCCGGTCATCGTCGTGCTTCCTTTTGTGCCTTAAGAGTTTGGACATACTGGTGAAGTTCCAGCCACAGCCGTCAAAATCACAAAGGAAAGGTCTCTCGCCGGTGTGGCTCCGCAGGTGAATTTTCAGCCGACAAGCTTTGTCGTACTGTTTGCTGCAGCCAGGAAAGGAGCAGGAAAAGAGTTCCTGTTCCCTGAAGTGGGCGCGGTTATGGGAAAACAGGGCACTCACTGTGATAAATGTCTTCTTGCAGCCAGAAAACGCGCACTGGTAGGGCCTCTCCGGCTCGAAGTGGCTGCGCTGGTGTGCGCTGAGCTTGGCCTGTGTGGGGAAGCTCTCCTCGCACACCTCACATTTGAACGCGTTCTCCTGTTCGTGGCCCTTCATGTGCGCCTTGAGGTTATACACGGTGGTGAAGCTCTTGCCACAGCCCTCCACCGGGCAGCCAAATGGCCGGAGTTTGTCGTGCGACTGCAGGTGCCTCTTGAGTTTGTACGACGTGGTGAAGGTCCAGCCGCAGCCGCCCAGGGGGCACTTGAAGGGCCGCTGGCCCTGGCTGCTGCTGTGTGTCAGCAGGTGCACCTTCAGCTGGTGCTTCTTGGCGAAGGTTTGTCCGCACTGTGCCTCTGGACACAGGTACAGCACCACGCCCGGGCCCGGGCCCAGCGGCCCGCGAGGACTCTCAGCGGCGGCCGGCCCCTCTGCCTCCTCCTCGGGCGGCGGGACGGGCGCAGGTTCGGCCGGCTCGGCCAGCAGGAGGTCGGGCGGCAGCTCGGGGCAGTCGCCGGGCTGCGCGGCGTGCGGGACCTCTGCTTGCGGGGCGATCAGACCCCCCGGCTGCGGGGCAGGCGAGACCCCAGGCTCCCAGGCTGGCGGCGGGGGCGTGGCTAGGGTGAGGACGCCGTTCTCGAAGCGCAACAGCAGGTTTTGGTTGTGGATAGTGACGGTGCCCGCGAAGGCCGCGGCGGGGCCCAGGCCTGGGGCGGGGATCGGGGCAGGGGCCTGGGCCGGGGCCCGGGCAGGGGCGGGGACTGCAGACAGGCAGCGGGAGCCCAGCGCAGGGTGGCCCGTGGGGTTCGCGCTGCTCTCGCCCCCCTGGAGCCGTGAGCCCTGCTCGGCCTCCTCCCTCCATACAGGCCCTGAGGCCTGGCCGGCACCCGCGGTCTCCACGTCGCCACCCACCGGGTCCAGCAGCACCAGGAAGAAGTCGTCACCGCCGCCGCCGCCGCCGCCGCCGCCGCCGCCGCCAGCGTGATCGGGCCTC